TGCAGCTCCCGCAGCTCCTGGGGGCACAGCAATGGTCAGTGGGACCCCCCCCCACCGACCAGGGCCGGGACCCCCCCTTCCCCCAGGCTCCCCGAGCAGCGTTACCTCCTCGTGCACCTTGTGCAGGAAGGAGATCTCCTCCTGCAGGGTCCCCACGCGCCGCTCCAGGTCCAGGCGAGCCAAGGCAGCAGCATCCACGTCCTGTCACCATGGGGGGAAACAGGAGGGGCTGTGCCAGGGGCCTGCTGCCTCCTGAGCTGCCTGCTCCTGCCCGTCCCTGCCCTGTCTTTGCCTATCCCTGCCCCATCTCCATCCCTGCCCTGCCTTGTCCTTGCCTGTTCCTACTCCATCCCTACCCATCCCTGCCCCATCTGTCCATCCCCATCCTTACCCAATCTGTCCATTCCCATTCCTTCTCCATTCCCACCTATCCCTTCTTCATCCCCACCCATCCTTACTCCATCCCCACCCATCCCTTCTCCATCCCCACCCATCCCTTCTCCATCCTCATTCATCCCTTCTCCATCCCCATCCCTGCTCAATCCCCATCCCTACCCCAGCCCTACCCATCCCTGCTCCATCCGCATCCCTACCCAATCCCCATCCCTTCTCCATCCCCATCCTTTCTCCATCCCCATCCCTTCTCCATCTCCATCCTTTCTCCATCCCCATCCCTTCTCCATCTCCATCCCTGCTCCATCCCCATCCCTATCCCTGCTCCATCCCCATCCCTACCCAATCCCCATCCCTGCTTCACCCAAGCTCCATCCCCACATATCCCTGCAGGAGGCTGAGCCAGGGGCAGAGCCACTGGGGTGCAGGGTGGGGGATGCAGGATCTGACCCCTGTCCTCACCTGCCTGTAGGCAGCCAGGTTGCTCTCGGCCTCCAGCCGCAGGGTCACCTCGTCCTGCAGCCTGTGCCGGGGTGGAAAAGCACCATTACCCATTCAGCACCATTGCCCGTTCAGCACCATTACCCATTCAGTACCATTACCCATTCAGTACCATTACCCGTTCAGCACCATTGCCCGTTCAGCACCATTGCCTGTTCAGCACCATTGCCCGTTCAGCACCATTACCTGCTCAGCCCCATGGACAGACACACACCCCCCCTGCCAGCTCAACACAGCCCCACGACACCAGCCCCTACACCCTAGGTTAGGTGCATGTGCCCATCGCACACCCTCCACCACTGTCCCCAGGGGCCACCCGTTTCCCCATCACCACCCTGGTACTCAGCAGTACCTGGTCCCCAGGGCTACCCTGGTCCTGGTGACCACCCTGATCCCTGGGGACACCCCAATTCTCTCATTAGTCCTAGGTGTCACCTTGGTCCTTGTTACCACCGTGGTCCCCATCACCACACTGGTCCCCAGAACAAGCCTGATCACCATGCCGGCATCCACCCTGCTCCTGGTGGTCCCCCTCACACCCATCCCCAGTGACCACCTTGGTCCCTGGGGGCATCCTGGTGGGCCCCCTGCTCCCCATCACCACGCTGGCCCTGATCACCCTCCTGCTCACAGCACCCACCTTGACCCCGCGCCTACCGCAAGCCAGGCAGCTCCTTACTTGTGCTGGAGGCTGCCGAGGTCCTGGCTGAGCTCGTCCCTCTCCGTCTCCAGATGGGCCTTGGCGGTGGCCAAGAGCTCCACACGACCCCGCAGCTCACGCAGCTCCTCCCGGTAGACGCCGGCCACACGCCAGGGCTCCCGGTCCCACGCCTGGTTCAGCTCCAGCACCAGCACCCGGTTCTGCCGCTCCAGCAGCCGGACCCTCTCGGCGTAGCCGGCGAAGCGGTCGTTGAGCTCCATCAGCTCCACCTTCTCCTTGGCGCGCGCCTCCCTGAACTCCGAGTTGAGCGCCGTGGCCAGCGAGAAATCCATCCTGCCCGTGCCCGTGCCCATGCAGGGACCCAGCTGGGTGCTGCGGGGCGCCCGGGGTGCTCCCCGGGGCAGCGGGGCGGCGGTGCCGGAGCGGCGGCAGGAGGAGGACAGGCGCTGGCTGTCCATGCCGATGGGATGGGGGCGATGCGCCGGGATGAGGGGTTTTATGGAGCCCGGGAGCCCCTGTCCCGCTGGCACTGGCCACTGGCCACAGAGCTGGAGGGATGGCACAGACCCCAGCCGCTGCGGCGCCTGCAGGGGTGAATGCACCCTGGCACCCGGCCTGGCCACCGGGAACCGCCTGCCCCATCCATCGGCTCTGCTGGGATCCAGGGAGGGCATTGGACACCCGGCATGGGGAGCACAGAGCGTGGCCATCCCTACCCACCCCTTCTCCATCCCCATCCCGGCTCCATCCCTAGCCATGGGGCAGCCGGTGGGGCTCGCTGGGAGCAATGCCATGGGGACACTGGGTGCTGGGTCCGAGGTGTCACAGGGTGCCCACTGCAGTGCCTGGGCTGTGTCTGCAGCCTGGGGATCCATCCAGCAGCGTCTTGAGGTGCTCAGGGTAGGGAGAGCCCCTGGGCAGGCTCGGGGGTGGGTGTGCACCCCCCTGCCATGCACATAGCGTGGTTCTGCCGCCTGATGATGCTGATGCTGACCTGGATGCTCCTTTGGACCATGTGGATCCAGACAAGGAGCCTGATTCACATCCTCCAGACCCTCATGGTAAATGGGCAGCTGTAAAGGGAGGAGCGAGAGGGGCAGGGATGCGGGTGGATCGAGAGCTTTCCCGGTGCTGTATGTGCCGGATCAGGACCCACGGAGGGAAGGTCTCTCCTATGCTCTTATCAAAGGTACCAGGTGAGCAGTGACGGACCATGGACTTGGAGCCCCGTGTACAGCTCATTTGATAGGGTCTCTCTGGGATGCTCACGTACCAGGATCCGGCACATACAAACATATCCATGTTTCCATCAACCCCCGCAGACTTTTCCAGCCTGATCATCCATCCTCACAGGATCCTGGCTCCATGTTCTGTGCGTGGGGCCGTGGAGTGGGGTAATGATGGTCTGGGTTTTGTGTTTCAAACGTTGTAATTGTGAGGAGTGTGTTTGTGGGATCCCTCGTGTGTGTCTGTGTGTGTCTGTGTCTGTGTGTCTCTGTGTGCCTCTGTGTCTGTGTGTGTCTGTGAATGTGTCTTTGTGTGTGTGTGTCTGTGTGTGTGCAGGTGGCAGGCAGTGTTCTGTGTGGTTTTTGTTGTCGGGTTCCCGTATTAGTTTTTAAGGGAGGGATGGAAGCAGGCACTGCTGCCCCTTCACTTGTTTGATCCCCGTGTGCAGAAGAAGCTCCCCCCGATCCGGCTCCCAGCGTTCCTCCAGTGGCACGGCCGGGATGGACACCGGCGCCGTGCAGTGAAGGAAACCCCCCCCAAACCCTTTCAATCTATGGGAGCACTGGGGCCGTTTGTAGACACCCCACAGACAAAGCCTCAAGAGCGCCTGCAGCACGCGGGGCACACAGGAGGAGCCCAGCTCAGGGTGTTCAAAGTGACCTGGGCGTGAATCCGGGGCTGGGAGGAGCGGATGGATCGGGTGACACCAGAGCTGCAGGCTGGAACAGCGAGAGGGGCAGTGCAGCCCCGGCTCCATCGGCTCCATCACCTCCATCAGCTCTATCGGCCCCATCACCTCCATCACCTCCATCGGCCCCATCACCTCCATCACCTCCATCAGCCCCATCAGCTCCATCACCTCTATCAGCTCCATCAGCCCCATCAGCTCCATCACCTCTATCAGCTCCATCAGCCCCATCAGCTCCATCACCTCTATCAGCTCCATCAGCCCCATCAGCCCCATAACCTCCATCAGCCCCATCACCTCCATCAGCCCCATCAGCTCCATCACCTCTATCAGCTCCATCACCTCCATCACCTCCATCAGCTCCATCACCTCTATCAGCTCCATCACCTCCATCACCTCCATCAGCTCCATCAGCTCCATCACCTCCATCAGCCCCATCAGCTCCATCACCTCTACCAGCTCCATCAGCCCCATCAGCCCCATCACCTCCATCAGCCCCATCAGCTCCATCACCTCTATCAGCTCCATCAGCCCCATCAGCCCCATAACCTCCATCAGCTCTATCACCTCCATCACCTCCATCAGCCACCAGCCAAGCAGCATCGGAGTCAGGAGAAGAGGAAACCAAAGTGAGACGAGGCAGAGCTGGAACAGGAAGGAGCCAGCACAGCTCCTGTGTTTCCGACCTGCCAGGCCCTTTGCCTGCAGGGAACGGCCCAGCCAACTCCTGCAGCGTTAACACCGGGCCGCTTGCTTCTGCAGCTGCTGCACGCTCCTTGTGCCTCAGAGCGCCTCTGCCCTAAGGAAACCCTTCAACCTGCTGATAACCTGGGGGGTATTTGTGTCCTCCTGCCTACAGGTCCACGGCGCTGCCTGCAGCCTTTGTCAAGCCTTGCCATGGGCTGGGCAGGGGAGAGGAGGAACCGGATGCCTCAGCTGCAGGAGCTGCCCGTGAGTACCCCAAGCAGAATGAGGCAGAGGAAGAGAAAATCGAATGATTGCAAAGCATCACTTGGGGGCAGCTGAGCAGTCACAGCTTGAACGCGTGTGCTTGTAACGTAGCTGTGATCAGCGGCTGGGATTGTGTGTGTAAAGCACCTGTATTTACTGGCCAGGTGCTGATAAGAAAGTGCACCTTGCATTGTCTGGGTTGGTCCCTTGTAAAAGAGATGTCGGAGCGTGCCCATTCGCAGCAGCTGCTAGAAAATCCTAAGGCAAAAGGCGGAAAGATTCCAATGGGATGGCACTGTTCTAAAGGAGGCGTTGACAGCAGATCCCTGGAACAGAACGGGGCAGGTCAGGGTTAACCCCCGAGCATGCACGGTGAAAGTGCGTTCTGTTTGGGACCTCGCTGGGTCCCTGCAGGATGGGCTCCTCCACTCTTGTCTTCTGCCTCTTCCTCACAACAGGACTGCCCCTACCGCGGCTTCCACCCAGCCACAAGAGAGCATCTGCAGCCAATGGACAGGACAAGACGCCCTGTGCCTGCCGGGGGCCAGAGCCAGGAGTGCTTTCAGGCTGCTGTGGGATGCCTGGGTGGGGGCTGGCATTCCCTCAGCTGCTCCAGCAATGGCAGCCTCGGTTCCTGGGCACACGGGGGATGCCTCGGGTACAACAACCAGGAGCTGTTCACAGCCACAAGAGATTCCTCTGTTAACACTGTAAAATGGATCTGGATCTGCATTTTCACTCACACGTGCACATCCATGCGTCCCCATGCACCTCCATCCCTCCACACCCACGTGCAGCACACATGTGCCTGCCCCTGCACGCGGGTGCCCAGGGCAGATGCACACCCGCGCTGCGGTCCCTGACTGTGGGTGCACCCATGGGGCTGCACACGTTCATCCACCCTTCCGTGTGTGCCTCAGGCACAGCCACGGCCCCCCTGCTCTGCACACGCATGCACCCATGCCCGCTGCACCCATGGCCACGCTCCCCCGGTTACAGCCCCCGGACAAGCCCCAGCACGAGCAGCTCGGCTCCGGACACCACAGCCCTGGGGTGCTCCTGACGTGGCTGGAGGCTCCTCAGGCCCTTCCATCCCAGGGGCTCAGTAAAGGAGCCCAGCCAGGGCTCAGGACCCTGGGTCCCTTCCCAGCTCCCAGGGAGCCCAATCCTGCCCCAGCCCCAGCTCCGTGTGCGTGGCCATACCCCGCTCACCCAAGCACTGAGGTTGGGGGTCTTTTGTCCCCCCAGTGACCCACGGGGATGGAGCGAGGACCAGAGCCCACCCCGGGCAGGGGCTCCGTGCCAGGGGCTTTCCCTGGGTGGTTGAAAGGGGCTTTGTGTGCAGGGCTGGAGCCTGGGCACGGGCAATGGGAGCCTTTGTGCCGGGCACCGCTGCCGGGAAACACAGGAACGGAGCCAGGGGCAGTGGCGGGGATGGGGACACGGCCACCCTGTGCCCTGCAGCACTGGGGCATGGCCAGGCCTTGGGGACAGACCGGGCACGGATAAAGTGGGGTTTGGAGGCACAGGGCTGTAAGGGACATGGGGTCCACACAGATGCTACCACAAGAAGCAGCCAGGATGAAGCTGGGTGGCAGGGGGTCACTGTAGGGATGCTGCGGACAGGATGGGGACAGGTCGCACAGGCTGGCAGCAAGGTGGCATCTGAGGGCTGGGAAAGGCTCCCTGAGAGCTGCAGCACAGGGACAGCAGCCAGGCCCTGCTGGACCACAGCCACCAGCACTGGGGCACCGACAGCATCCAGACTGGGGAGGTTATAGCAACAGCCAGGGGTGCAAGCTGTGGGCACCCAGAGCCACTGGTTGGGGTGGGGCCCAGTGGTGGCACTGGGGCAGCGCTGAGGGCCAACCTCTTGCTGCCCCATCCCCATTTAACCCAAGAAGTTCTCTGTTCCCATCCAGCCCTGTGTCCCCACAACCTGTCCTGCACCAGTGTCACCGGCAAAAGGCAGCAGTTTCACCCCCAGAACCACCTCAGCCTGGACACTTCCCTGCGCCATAGGTGATGCTTGGCATCCCCAGGCTGCTGGAGCAGTGACCGCCCTGTGGCCCCACGCTGTGGGACAGCCCATGGGGCCAGCAGGCCCCTGTGCCTATCAACTGTCAGCAGTGCCTGGGGTGCAGAGCCCACACGGGGCAGGGGCTCCAGGGCCCTGCACGAGCCCCCACGCTGCTCCCTGCAGATGGATTTTCTCCCAGCTCCTCCGCAGCCGGGATCCAAGCATGGAAAACCGTCACTGCGGAGGCAGCGCTGGGCTCCCTCCTCCTCCTCAGCCCCCTCTTAACGAGGCAGAGGAACCAGGAGCAGCCTGGAAGGTTGAATTGGAAGCTTCCAGGCTGGGAGCAGGCAAAGGGGAATGCGGCGCTGCCAGGCAGGAAAGGAGGGCAGGAGGAGCGGGTGACCCCGGTCCCCACGGGACTGCAGCACACCCAGAGCCACGGCCCCATCCATCCTGCTCCCACCGCACTTGGCCATCCTGGAGGGCGCCTACGAGGAGCTGGTGCAGGCAGCCAGATGTGCCAGTGCCCAGATGTGACAGTGCCCAGATGTGCCAGTGCCCAGATGTGACAGTGCCCAGATGTGCCCTGCCACGGCAGCCAAGGGGGTCAGGGGGTGCAAGGGACAAGTGCGGTCCCAGGGTAGGGATGCTCAGAGCTCTCTGCCCCAGCCCTGGGGGTTTGCAAGCAGCTGGAGCAAGGGGGACACAGAGAGGGGGGCAGCAGCAGGGTTTTAGCAAGGGGGAGCAGCACAGAAGCACACAAAGCAGCAGGAGCTGGGGCTGCGCTCCAGGCCACGGCACCAGCTGGACCCCCACAGCACAGCCAAGGGGGCAGAAGGCACCCGCAGGAGCCCCGGATGAGGGGGGAAGCCACAAAGGAGCTCAGCCCCAGGAGCAAGGGCCTTTGCCAGGCCCAAACCCAGCTCCCCCCAGGCGGGGGGACAAGAAGCTCAGCCCTCTGCTTTGAACCAAACCATGTATTAAGAACACAACTTAATTCTTCACATGCATCATGTGTGGGGAATGGGGGGACGGGGAATGGGGGGACGGGGAATGGGGGGACGGGGAATGGGGGGACGGGGAATGGGGGGACGGGGAATGGGGGGACGGGGAATGGGGGGACGGGGAATGGGGGGACGGGGAATGGGGGGACGGGGAATGGGGGGACGGGGAATGGGGGGACGGGGAATGGGGGGACGGGGAATGGGGGGACGGGGAATGGGGGGACGGGGAATGGGGGGCGAGCGTGAGAACAAGGAAGACTTAAGGGGATCGTGGTGGGGCTGCAAGGAGGACGTAGAGGAAGGAAGAAATCTGGGAACCGCGTTAGGGACATGGGGAGGGATCCAGGAGCCATCAGCATAAGAGCTGCATTGGCTGGGGGGTGTGGGCAGGGGAGACACGGGTGAGTTCTTTGGCTCTCCTCTTGCTCCCCTTCCAGGAGCTGTTCCTCCAGCCAGGCTCTGAGGAAGACAAGAGCAGAGAAGCAGATGAGGCAGCTCCTGGGCAACAGCAGCAAACCCAGAGCCCCTTCCCGAGGAGGATCCAAGCCTCCTCCTTCCCACCCCTCTCCAAGGGCCCAGCGCCCTTCCCAAGGCTGTGGCTGCAGCCAGGAACAGCAAACCCCAAAGGGCATCTTCCAGCAGCACCAAACATCCCATTCCCAGGTGTTTGCCCCCCCAGGCTAGAACGGGGCTGGCACAGCAGCAGCTTGCTGAGGCAGGGAGCACTCCCACAGCCCATCTCGCTGCAGGGAAAGGGCTTCCTTGGGTGCCTGCCTGGGTGTGGAGGAGCACAGGACTCACCTGGGATGCGGGAGGGCTGCACACAGCTCTTGCTGCTGCGCTGCAGGTGGGCAGTGCAGCTCTGGAGCCCATCCGGGCAGGGGAAGGCGATGCTGTGAAAGAGAAAGGGACCATTTCTAACCCCAGAGCTCAGGGCAGAGGCCCCCATCATCCCCAGCCGGCACAGGGGAGGTGGCACAGACACAGGCAAGGATGGGGGCTCGAGCCCCAGCGGGGAGCAGAGGCAGGAGCTGCCTGCACAGAGCACTGAGGGGCACAGGGTGCTGGTGCCTGTCTCACCTCTCCACTCGCCTCCGCTTCAGCGCAGGGGCTTTGGGGATGCAGGAGCTCTGCATGGCCAGCGCGGGGATGGGGGCTCTGCAGCCAAGGAAAAGAGGGTTAGTGCCAGGGCATGGATCCTGACCGCCCGCTCTCAGAAGGCTGAGAGGCAACACCAGTGTCCCCTCTGAGCAGAGCTGCAGCGATCCACAAAGGGTTCCCCCAGACAGCAGGGCCGCAGAGGGGAGACCCCCAAGCACACACTCAGCCCAGCCAGGGCAGCACTTACTCAGGCAGGAAGGGGCTCTCCTGCTTTGGTTGCTGGCACTGCCTCTTCTCCCTGTGCCAGCATTGCGAGAGGCGGATGGGAACGGGCAGGATGGCGCTGGGGGATCTGCTGTGCGGGCAGAGCTCAAAGGTCACATTGAGCTCGGGGGCAGGCGGGGAGCACCGGATCTGGGCAGCTGACACTGCCAGGGGCGCAGGGCTTTGGGGGCCTGGTGCTGAGCTGGATCTGGGGCTGTAACCCAGTGGCACCGGGGAGCCAGGGGATGCTGGAGCTGCGAACTCGAGCCGGGGGGTGCCTGGGCTCTGTGGCCCGGGAATCTCCGCTGCCTTCCCACGTCTCTGCTGGCCTTGCATCTGCCTCCTGATGCTGCGGCGAGGGGCTGAGGGGGAGGCACTGCCCAGCCCAGGCTTCCTCCTCCCAATAGGGCTCAAAGCCGTGGGCACACGGCCCGAGAACGGAGCAGGCTGCTGCAAGCACTGCGGGCTGGAACTCATCGCAGGGGCACCGCACACGGTGACAGATGCCGCATCTGAAGGAGCAGGAAAGGAGCAGTCACCTCTCTGCCTGCAGCTCCCAGGAATGCCCAGACCTCAGGGCAGCCCCCTCTCCTCCATCACTGCTCAGGGGACATCTGCCCAACAAGCCCCACGGCAGTCATTTCCCGGCGGGGGTTTCCATCAAACCACATTAAACCCAGAGGAAAAGAGCCAGCACAAGGAATCCTGCCCCTGGCAGCCTCGGTGATGGCACCAGCCTGCTCCCAGAGCAACTGCCTGGGGCAATGCCTGAGCTCTCCCAGGAAAATGGGGTCTGCAGAGCCCACAGCGTGGCTACTGGGTTCATGGTTAACAATGAGGACGAGGAGGAAGAGCTCAGCCCTGGTCACACGTAGGCCGAGGACACAGCCAGGGTGACTTGGGCAAACCAACCAGGGAGACAAAGGAGAGGGGCCAGCACCAACTGTCCCAGCTCCAAATCCTCACCATCCCAGCTCCACTTCATCCTCTTGCCTGGGGTGGCCTCGCTGAGCTCTGCAGGCCTGCTCAGAGGTAGAGCTTGCTCAGGGCTCCCACCAGTGTCCTGAGGGACCAGCTGGGCCAGTTCCTCCAGCACAGACACCAAATCTGGAGTGAGGAGGTTGGCAGCCTTCAGGACAGAATAAAGCTTCCGGATGCCGCTCAGGCCAGAGGCCACAGGCCTGGGGACAGAGACAGGAACCAGTTAGCAGGTGAGCTTGAGCCAGTGTCACCAGGAACAGAGGCTCAGCACCACCAGCATCACCTCTGAGACACCACCTCAGCTGAGGCAGAGCCCATCAGCAGAGGTCTGGGGCAAGAGAAGCAAATGTGAAGCTGTGAGGTGCCCAAAGGTGAATCTCTTGCTGGAGAACACCGAGCTGTGTGTTCACCTGCTGGTTACAAGGGACCAACCAGCACCTACAGGCTTTTTGCTGCCCTTCAGACACTCCTTAGCTTGGCTAGAGACAGATCCAGGCCCACGTCTCCCCCCCAGGAGACCTTTCTAAAGAGCCAAGATGCTCGGGGCAGACTCATGAGCAGATGGTGCTGTGGGAGCCCTGCCAGGGTGGAGCCAAGGCAGGAGCAAAGACCTCAGAGGTAGTTTCACAACTAACAACACACACTTCAGGCTCCAACAGTTGCTGTGCCTGGAAACCTTCAGAGCTGGCATCGCCAGGACAGATTATTCCATGGCATTAGATCCCAGGAGCCAAAGCCCTTCCTGTACAGGGCAGGCAGTCATCTGAAAGCGAAGATGTGGGCCCGTCTTCATCTAGACCATCCCCAGGATGGCCACATGCAACAGCAGGGGGGACCCCCCACCTTCCACAGGCAACCAAGAGGACACAGGGGGGGCAGGAGGACACTCACTGCTCTGTGCGGTGGCCGGACAGAGGGCTGTTTCCTCCAAGCTTTGGCTCCTTCAGTCCCAGCCGCAGATCCACCCCATGGGATGCTCCAGGGCTGCTGGTTGGCATTTCCTCTGGAGCCTGGAGCAATCACCCAAAATTCCTTACCCATTAGCCCAGGGTTAGCCCACAGGTGAGCTGAGTTTGGTCCCCAAAATGCTTGAACCTGGGAAGTTAAGGGCCTTCGCTAGCAAACCACAGCCCAGCACGTGCTGAGCCAGGACACACGGACCCCTGAGCTCCTGCCACCTCCCAGCAGGCCCCAGCTCAGCTGAGAGCCCCAGCTTCCTCTGGGCCCTGCTCATCACCCCAGGCCCTCCTGTGCTGCCCATCCCTCCTCTCACCTCGCCCTCCAATTGCAGCTGCATCTGAAGAGGAAAACGAGCCTGCAGCTCCTGCTGCTCTCTGTCATCCTGCCCCTCACCATCAAGGGCCAAGCCCGGCTTTGGGACAGCTTCCTCCAACCTACAGAAGCCAGAGAAGCAGGCACTGAGCCAGAGAAGATCCTCTGCTGAAACGCCATTTTGCATAAGAAATTTTGGGATGGACCAAACACCAGATTGGGCCTTTGCAACCCAGCTTCCCTTGGGGCTTGCGTGCTCTGCTCCAGCAGGTTCAGAGCCGAACCCAGCCACAGTCGAGATGATGCTGCACACCAGCAGCTCCTCTGCTTCCTGACAGGCACTAGGCTCTCACCAGCACTAAAACCCTGCAGGTTCCTTGACACAGGGGACACCAGGAGGTCACACACAAAAGCTCTGTTGCTTCTTTCCCCCCAGCCTCACCTGGGCAGCTCCACTGGGCTCACGCTGGACGGAGCCTGTGGCCCTGCTGCCTGGTTCTCTGCCTCACGGGCACCATCCTCATAAGCAAGAAGCTTTGCCCTCAGCTCCGCCACCTGCAAGGAGGGATTTTCTGTTTGCTCAGATGGTTTTATGACCCCTGGAGCTCAGAGGTTTGCACCCCAAACAGACCACAGCTAAAGACAGAGCCCTGCCCTCCCCACCAGCATCTCACCTCCCCTTTCAGCTGCTCACACAACTCCACGTATTCACAGAGGTGGGAGTCAGAGCTGCACATGTTGCTCTTCAGCTGCAGAGACAGGGACGAGACAGAGGTTACAGAAGCACTGGGGCAGCACATACCCTCTCCTGACACCAGAGCGGGGCACCTCCTCGGCCTCCTCCAGGATGCAGGGGCCCCGTGGAGCCCCGGGCTGGCTGCAGCAGACACAATCTGCACTCGTGGACCTACTGCCGCAGTCACAAGCCTTTCTAGGCTCAGGGCTGGGGAGCTTCAGCAGAAGCCTGGGCACACACTGTCTGCAGCTCCATCAGCTGCTTTCTGCCCAGAGCAGCACCCCCAGGGCTGGAAAACTCACGCCGGAGAAGGGAGGCTCCCACTCACCTACCCCAGCATGCAGCAGACTCCCTCCCATCCAGCAGCAGCTCCCAAACACCCACAACAAACACATCACCCCCACCACATGAGCTCCTCACCGACAGCTTGATCTCCTTGGCCCTGCTGGCATACTTGAGGGTGTTGTAGGTGTCTTCGTAGGCCAGCACAGAGGGGCTCACCGCTGCCACCATGACGCTGCGGCAGTTGCCACCCAGGCAGTCCTTCAGCAGGCGCGTCAGCTTGCTGTCCCGGTACGGGATGTGGCTTTTCTTGCCCTGGAGCAAGAGAGCCAGGATCTGCTCAGCTTTGGGCCCCCGGGCACTCAGCTCCTACCCCTGAGTGACCAGGGGATGGCTGCGCTCACCCCACAGCACCAGCAGCACTGAAACTTGAGCACACCGCTCACATTCAGGCAGCCCAGGGAGCCAGAGCCCAGCAGGGCCATGTGGGGAACAGCGTTACCTTTGCATCAGCCAAGGCGTTGATGACGTTGATGAGGGCCAGCAGCGAGCGGTTGATGTTGGCCCCCTCCCGCAGCCGCTCTCCCCTGGTGTTGGCCACCGACGCTCGCTCTGAGCCTGCCAGGTCGATCAGGCTCATCTTGGCCACCTTCAGACCCCGACTGAGGCTGCCAGGGCAGTCCTGCTGCTTCACGTGGATCTGTGAGGACAGAGATGGGTGAGGCTGCAGCTCGACAGGGGGGCGGTGGTTGGAGGCGGCTCAACAGCAGGGCAAGAGGGTGATGCTTAGAACGGGATGGCCAAGTGGATGGTGTGGGCTGTGAGGCAGAGAGGAGCCTGGCACGCCAAGAAGACAAGCCAAAAACTCGGTGATGACCCAAACAGCAAAACCATGGAAGGGATCCTGCAGGAAGTGACAGAGCTATGGGAAATAATCAGCATCTCCTATGCTTGGTGCACAAGCAGGGCAGAGCCGGCTGGGTCCCCAAAGGGCCAAACACCACCCAGAGCCCCAGCCCCAGTGCATTTTGTCAAAGTCAAGACACCGATGGGGGCCTACAGGCCTGGCATCAGCCAGGGCTTTCAGTGCTGAGCCCAGATCCCAGCTGGTGTGGGCAAGGAGGGACACAGCCACCAAGACACATCGGGCAGCATCGCTCCCTAACTTCCCCTTCTGCATCCCTAAAGGTCTCCCTGGAGAATGCAAATGCTTTCCCCACAGCCTTAAAACACACTCAGCACCTAGGAACAGCACCTGCACGGACTGGAGGTGCCATGGGACTGCTGGAGCCCACTAACAGGTCCTGCATCCTCACCAGACTGTGCCGTGCCTGCCAGGAGGCAAAGCTGGCAGCGGGAAGGGCACATTTCCAGCACAGCAAATGGATTCAGAGCAGGCAGGAATCCAGCACCCACCAACAAACCCAGCTGGGGTGCCACCTGGAAAAGCATCCAGGCACCTGGACTTCCCCCTGCAAGCAGCCACGGGTGAGACACCAGCTTCAGACTGAAACTGCAGTCGGAGCCCCCCGTTTCCCCACACAGCCGTGACCGCCCTGCTCATTCAGGAGAGGGCCTGGCTGGAACTGAAATCAGCTGGCAGGTGTGCATAGGAGAGCACCACCAAACTGGGGAGCCCATTTACAGAGCCCCTGCGGGAGTGTAATTCCCAGCTCAGTGCCAAGGAAGACACGACGGAGGAGACAGCCTGCTCAAGGCACGAGCACAAACCAGCCCCTCTGCTCTGGGTCAGCTTTTAGGTACAGCTGCCACACGTTGAGTCAACAAGAGTCAAAAGCACACAGTGAAGTTTCAGCCCCAAGGGGCAGAACACCAAGCTGAGAGCATGGAGCTGGCCGGGAGGTGCGGCCACCAGCGTGACCGGTACGTCCCGTCCTGCGGCAGCGTGCCCAGGGCCCTGTTCAGCCCCATACCTCTCTTTGCAGGGCTACAACTGCTCTGCTTTACCCCGTGGCACATGAGGAGCAGTGGCAGGAATCCCAGTCCCGCCATGGCCTTGCTTCCTCCTCTCTTTTTAAGCACAACCCCCCAGTGCCACTGCATCCACCAGCCCTCACCTGGAAGATGGCATGCGAGCGGGAGGAGACAGCGTTGGCGTCAGTGGGATGCTGCGTGCGATTCCTGTTGCCGTTGGCCAACATCTCCAGGAGCTGCTCTGCTGACGCAGGCTGGGAGAGAACAGGGAGAGGGATGCTACCAGTGTGCCCCATCTGCAGGCACAGACACAACCCAACACAGAGCACCCACGGCTCTGGCATCCTGCAGCACCGTGGGCCTCGTCTCAGCTCAGGCTCATGTTTGCTGCCAGCCAGGAGCTGTGCAGGTCGCACCCCCTATCTTCAGAGACCCCCTATCTCCAGGACACATCTGCTTTCAGAACTGGTGGAGGTGCAGCACTGCCCATTCTTATACCTGGTGTGCCCATTTTAACACCTACCTGGTGGAATGAGAGGCCCTGGACCACAGCTCCTCGCTCAGGATCCTCCCGAATAGCTAGAGGTCCCTTGGGCTCCAGCAGGTCATAGATCTGCTCGTTGTACACCTGAAGCAGGGAACTCAATGTAAGGCTGAGGTTTGGCTCCCCAGTGGTGAGCAGGGAGAGGAGCTTTGTACCCCAGGGTCACACAAGACCTTGTGTCCCTCTCCCAACACCACCTGCAGGACATCACTACACCCAGGGCAGCTGATGGTGCTCTAGCTGACAGCTCAGGAGGGCTTTCAAAGCAACTCACTTTGCCACAGCTCCTCTAAAGCCTTTCCAGCCAGGAACCCCTCATTGCTACGTGCATCATGGCAAGGAAGAGAAAACGCCACGACTCCAGACAGGAGAAACCAGGAACACCAGGTCATTGACCCGGCAGGGTGAGCTGCTCCCTTCCAGTTGGGCTCTAGGGCTGCCCTGGGGGCACTGGGTACCCTGAACGGGGCACTACAGGGTCTGCATCAACCCCAAATCTTAGTGACGGGGACCCAGTTGCGGCAGCCCCAATGCACCTCCTGGTAGGAGACTAGGACCTCACAGCTCTTCTCCTGCCTTCTGGCCTCCATCCTCTGGTACAGCTCCACCATAGTCAAGTACATGATGCCAGGGCTGTGCTCCGAGCCCAGCATGGTGTAGGTTTTCCCTGCTCCGGTCGCGCCATAGGCAAACACTGAGAGGAGAAAGGGTGGATGGGTGAAGGAGTGAATGGGAGCAGCAGAACATCCGCTCCTTGCTGCAGAGGAGATGTGGAGATCTTCCCGCAGCAGCCCCTGCAGCAGGGCTCGCTCACAGGCTCCCGGAGACGAGGCAAAGCTCATTACCCTCTGCACTACCTGCAGCAGCCTTCAGTGCAGGTTATTTCCTCATTGCAGCCTCTCCAATTTAGCAGAGGCAGAATGAGTCCCCAAACCATCACCGCTTGGATGCTCCAGTCACCTCCAAACACTTCCCTTTCATAAACCAAGCAGCCCCATTCCCCCATCTCTCACCAGAATGGCTTTCTTCATCCAGCCCTCGTTATTCATCTCCATTTTCAGCCCCAGTCTTTCAACACCCTCTTTAAAACATCACCATCAGACCAGGACACACTGATCTAGAGAGCCTCAGCCCTTCTCCCTGTTAGCAGCACTCGGGGCCCCACCACTCTCTCCTGAGAGGATCCTGGAGCTCTTTTATGCAGACAGAGACACGAGCCGTGCCTGCCAGGTGGGCACGGTGACAGAGGCAGCCTTCAGCGCCTCGCAGAGCACACGGGGAGCCAGGAATAGCATCCTGCAGCGCCAGTGCCCGGCCCAGCACGCGATGAGACAGGAGCGCGGTGTCTCCCGCTCAGTGCCTGCCTCGCACAAGGGATGGGCTCATTAAGGCACCGTCTGCTGACAGCCTGCAAACGGCACAGGGGCTGCAGCACCACGAGAGGAGCTTCCAGGCCCAGCTTCATGGAGCTGCCAGCCTGGGAGATGCTCAGGAGGGGCACAGCAACCCTCAAAGCACCCCAAGGTGTGGCTGCTGCACCCCAGATCCCTCCCCGAAACTCAGCATCCCTGTGGCTGCAGCCCCACATCCAACCTACCTTCACTTCTGCCACAGGGCTCTGCTGACTCCCGCTCAGGTCAGGGCCCACCAGAACCCACAGGTCCCTCCCAGACACACAGTCCCCAGCCTGTACCCAGCTCCTGGGTTACCCCATCACATCTGTGTTAAACTACACATCCTCGTGGTTGCCTTTCCCAGCCCAGGCAGGTCTCTCCCACAGACCACATCACATCCTCAGCACACTTGTCATCGCTAAGGGATGCCACCACCAAGTTGAAGGCTGCAGGTTTAGCACTGCTCTTGTGCCTCCCGTCCTCCCCACTCCCAACCGCCTGGGGGCTTCCAAACTAACCCCCCAGCTCTCCCAAGCAGATGGGGCAGGAGCTCCCCCAGCACCCAAGCCAGCGGCCAGCTCTTACCGGAGCAGTTGTAGCCCTCGAGGACGCTGTCGAGCAGCTCGGAGGTGCTGTGCTGGAACACCTCCTCCTGCGTGGCCTCTTCCCCAAAGACCCGGTCAAAGACAAACTCCAGGTCCTTGCCCTTGGGCCCCCGCGCGGGCAGCGCGCTGCCGGGGGCAGCCCCGGGCTCCGCGGGGCTGAGGACGATGCCGTGCTCGTTAACGACGTGCACGACCGGGGGCAGGACCCGCTCGCTGCGGGCCAGGGGCCGCACACGCACCACGACAGTCACGGGGCCCTCCTCGGGCGGGGGGCACGGCCCCATGGTGGCAGCAGGGACAGGCACCGGGCTGCTGGGACGGCTCCGCTCCGAGCTCCAACGTCTCACAACGGAGCTCGCACACTGGGGGAGGGCAACGGCTCAGCGCGGGGGCAGCGGCTGAAGGGGGGGGGGGGGGGTCTGGGAGCTGGGCACCCACCCCTGCCCTAACCCCGGAGCCACCGGGACAACACCAGAGCCACCGTTACAAACCCCAGAGCCATCCCTATAACCCCCAAGCCACAGCTATAATCTCAGAGCCACCGCTATAACCCCAGAGCCACCCCTATAAGCCCAAAACCACCGCTATAACCCCAAAGCCACCGCTATAATTTCAGAGCCACCCCTATAACCCCAAAACCACCGCTATAATCCCAAAGCCACCCCTATAACCCACGAGCCACCGATATAACTCCAGAGACACCCCTATAACCCCAGAGCCACCCCTATAACCCCAGAGCCACCCCTATAACCCCAGAGCCACCGCTATAATCCCAGAGACACCGCTATAACCCCAGAAACACCCCTATAACCCCCGAGCCACCCCTATAACCCCCAACTGCTCCCCAACGGCCCCACATCCCCTCCACCCCAGCACCGACCCCCTCACCTCCGGGCCCCCACAACCACTCCCCCCCTCCAGGTCCCTGTCCCACAGCTCTTCCGGACTCCGCGGACCCCGCACAGCGCCTCCCCTCCAGACCCACATCACCCCACAACCCCTACACACACCCGCCCCACAACCCCTACACCCGCCCCACATCACCCCACAACCCCTACACCCGCCCCACATCGCCCCCTGAGCCCCACTCGCTCCCCTCAGACCCCTTTGCCCGCCCTCCCCGCCGCCCACCTCCGCTCTCCACACCGGGCACCGCTCCGTATTCAAACGGAAGCTCAACAACCGCCCTCTCTCCTGATTGGTCTCCTTGCCACGCCTCCCCTCCCCATTGGCTCCGGGGGGTCACGCGCCGCGCGAGGTGCCCCATGGGAGTTGTAGTCCCGCCGTGCCCTGGCCGGCCGCCATCTTTCCCCCCCCGTTTTGCTCCGTGCCGGAGGCGGCAGAGCCGGCGGTGCCAGCGGGCAGAGAGCAGAGGGGGACCCGCGGGGGGCTGAGGGGCCTGGGCTCTGCCCCCGGTGCCAGCTGGGGCGGTGGCTGCAGCCACCCCAGGCCTCAATGGTGCCCTCCCCAGCTCACAGCCCTGGCACTAGGGAGCCTCCCTCCCGGTTCTTTGGTGCTGAGGAGCGAACCCCCCCCCCCCCCCCGGTGCCCTGAGGGGACCCCACCATGGGGCTCTGGGGACAGGGACGGGGGTGGGGGGGGCACCCGCAGTGTCCCCATGGAGGGGGCACAGTGGACACCAAGGGAGCCCGTCCCGAGCGGGGTTGGTTATGGGGGGGGGGCACAAGGAAGGGGGCCATTGGCTCTGCCCCCCCATGGGGACACAGACAGCAGACGGGGGGAGGTCACAGCTCGGCTTTACCATGGAGCCCCCCCACCGCGCCCCAGTGCGCAGGGCTGGGGACAGGGCGGCACCCTCATAGACATCTCCATGTCCTGTACATCATACAGCAGGACCCCCCCAGCCCCGACATCGCCCCGCGTGGGGGGAGGCAGTGGGGAGCCATAGGGCCAGGGAATGGGGGTGCAGTGGGGCAGCACGAGGGGTCCCCAGCTTCTTGCTGGCCCCCAAACCCCTATGCCCCCCCCCCCCCCCCCAGCCATGCGGTCAGCTAACGGGAAAGAGGGGTTGTGGGGCAGCACAGATGGCTTGGACCACTGTGGGGGGATGCTGTGGGGCTGAACCATGGCAGAGGGAAGCTGTGGGGCTGGTCAGTAGGAGGGAGAGGCTATAGGGCTGGACAGCAGTGGGGAGAAACCATGGGGCTGGACAGCAGCAGGGCGATGCTGTGGGGCAGTGGAGGTTACCATGGGGAACACACCATGGGTTGGGGGGAATTCTGTTGGGCCAGACCACAGCAAAGGGATGCCATGGGGCAAGACTGTCACTGGGAGATGCCAGGGGGGCGATGCCGTGGGTCCAGGCTCAGTCCGAGTAGATGATGAAGCCGGAGAAGGTGCTGTACTTGTTGTTGTTGCCGCCGTGGGCTTTGCCCCCGTCCAGCTTGATGAAGACCTCGTCGCCCGCGTCCAGGTGCAGGATGACGCTGTTGCTGGCGTAGTCGTAGTTCTGGTCGGCGTCCTGGGCGATGGCGCTGGCCCGGACCTGCGCAGGGGACACCGCGTTACCCGGCTCGGGGCCGTGCATCCCATGGGATACCCAGATCCCAGCTCAGGCACAGCCAGGGAGAGGGCCTGCGAGCGCTGGTGCGGTGGGGGGGAGCCCTGGGTGCCCACCCACGGGTGGAGGTGGCTGCTCCGAGCATCACCCAGAGCCTCAGCTCGAGCTGGCAGGTGTGGGTTTGGATGGGGGACAATGGCACGGACATAGGACTATGGGTGCGGGACCACGGCTCGGACATGGGAGCCCATCTCTGGGTTCGGATGCATGATGGCAACGGACCCTGACTCCAGGTTTGAGTGCAGGACCACGGCTCGGACATGGCACCATGGCTCCGGGTACGGACACAGGACCACAGCTCACACACAGAACCCAGGCTGAGATGGGGCACCACAGCTCTGACGTGGACCCGACCCCAGGTCTGGACGGCTCAGACATAGCTCCACATCCAGATGTGGGACCACATCCTGGACACGGGACCCCAGCCCCAAACCAACTTAATGAACCCAGCGCATCCCCACAGGCTTCATGGGGATCGTGAACATGTGGTGAGGGCTGAGCTCAAACCCCCCCCCCCCCGCCCAAACCAAGCCTTGAGCTCAGCCAGCTCCCACCCCGCTGCGGAGCAGGATGCAGGAGGCCAAGGCCAGGAGGTGCTGGCAGAGCTGGAGGTGCCTGGAAGCTCTGTGGCTGGAGCCTGCTGCTGCTGCTGCAGCATCATTTGGGTAATCAAATCCACGGCGGCGCCTTGCGGGGCCGTGGTGTGGCGCTGGGTGACAGTGACAAGCTGGCAGGTAAAACCCCAAGCGAAAGGCAGACGTGATGCTCCTAATTACAGCCAACCGGAATGGGCTTTTAATTGGATCGCGCCAGGCGGGGAGGCACCGGCGAGAGGCTGCGGGGTCCCAGATGTGGGGTGGGAGGAAGGAGGGGTGTCCCCAGGGAGCCCTGCCTGTTGCCCCTAGGGCAGCGTCCCCTGGGAATGCAGCCGCCCCTTCCCGTGCTCACTGCGATGGTGGGGGGCAAGCACTGTTAACTCTGGAGCCTACTGACAGCCCATAGGGCTTGCTCTCATGCAGCCGTATCCTTCGTGCCATCACCATCACCCTGGGTTTACCCCAGCAGCACCGGGGGTCCCTGTCGCCAAGGCTCACCGTGGGTCACAGTGCCCCGCTCTCAACCAGGGGTTGTGTGAGGAAGAGGAGCAGAGGAAGAAGCACAGAGGGAAGGAAAGCGAGGAAGAGCCTTGGCGCCCGGCTCTGCTGCCATCGTCCCCCCCTGCAGCCAGAGCCACTCGCTGCCATCCATCCCTCTTCCCTCGGCACTGTGTGCCCTGGCACTCACCACGGCCAGGCCGAGCCCATGGCCTCATGCCCCTCATCCTGCTCCCTGCCTCAGTTTCCCCGTGCCACAGCTACAGGTGGAAACCATGGCGGGGGGACACATGGCCCTCGGAGCTGGCTCTGCCATAGCCTCTGTCACCGACCCCAGTGACAGCGCTGGGGGTGTCACCATCCCTGGGGACACTGTGGGATGGTCCCCAGTGTCACTGCTGCACCCGAGGGCCCTGGGCTATTGGGGTACGGGGTGCTCCTGTGTAGAGGCTGAGCCACTCGGTGCCTGGGGGACACCATGTGCCACGGCCACCATGGCCCAGGATGCCCAGTGTGTGTCAGTGGACCCCCCCCAGAACCCACAGGTGTGGTGGTGGGTGCCCCCCTTCAGCCCACCCCCGGCCAGGGCAGTGGGTACCCCCCAGACAGGGTCCCCTGGGGACCCCAAACCCACCCGGTTCCAACCCAGCACCTCCCATCCCGCTGCCCCTCTGGCTTCATCCCCGGGTAAGGCAAACCGGAGCCATTGCCGCTAATGAAGCACCCGCAGCAGCTCCCTGAGCACGGGCTCCCCAGGCTCTCATTAGCTCCAGCCCCGACACGGCGGTGATGGGCTGTGCCCCAAACCGGCAGCGCCCAGAGGAGGGAGAGGGCTCAGAGTGGGGCGGGGGGGGGGGGGGGGGGGGCAAGCTCTAATTGCCTTGGAGAACACCGCGATTGACCCTAATCCATTGGGAACCCCCCTGGGACCTCCCAGCCTTGCCAGGGATGGGGCGGTTTAGCAACGACCCCCCAGGGTGTAATGAGTGGGGGCGTTTGGGGGGTACCCGTCTCAATCCGAGCCGAAGCGCTCCCGAGCGGCTGCTTCAGCACCACCGGAGCCCTGACAGCTCCTCAGTAATTAACAACCCGTTAATTGAGCTGCATCCCCCGGCCGGGGGCTCCGCATCCATCCGCTCCCATCGACCCCACACGGGCTGGAGCGCGCCGAGGGAGGGGAGGAGGTTGGGAAGGGTTGGGGGGGGGGGCAACACTATTCCAGGGGAGGAAAAAGGGGTCCGGAGCTTGGGGGAAAGACCCAGGTGTCACTGAGAACCCCCGGAATTTGGGGGAGACAAAAGAAATGAACCAAAGGGAAGGAGACGCCAAGTGTTTGGATGTGGGGAAGCGCCGCGGGGCTCCTGCTCCTGCTCCCGCTCCGGGGGGGGCCGTGCAGGGCTCCCGCTCCCCACACACCCCCACACACCCCCCCCCCCGGCTGCTGTTTGGGTTGAAAACTCAGTGTTTGGGTTCATTCCGCGCTGTACGTCCTCAGGACAGGGATGCACCGCGGGGCTTGGTGCCGGCAGGAAACGCTGGGAAGCAGGAGCAGGGTGGGATGGATCCCACCGGTGACACCCAAGGGGATGGGGCTCCGGTGAGGTTTCGGGGGTCAGGGCCACGTCTTGTGCCCCGGGTTGTGACTGGAGGGGGGGGGGGGGGGGGGGGGCACACGGGGTGGGGAAGGGGCAGCGGTTTGGGCATCACCCGGACGCCGCGGGGATGGAGAG